TTAACAATTTCAGAGAAAAGGTAGTATCTTTCTCCTAGTATGCACCCATCAATTTCAGAAATGGATTCTGACTGGCTCTGCATGAATAACAGCATTCACTGTTGCAATAGGGATGACCAGGCTCAGGTTATAAGACAGTAAGACTGACTGACAGCCCACAAACCACTCAGAATAGGGGAGGGGTGGTTCCCTAAATGAAGAGATACTGAGTTGGCAAAAACAATATATGATCTGTCTTTTACCAGCCACGACCTTCAACAAAGCAATTTGAATCAGGAATTGATGATGAGCATACTATATTCTGAAATTATTTGACTTTCTTCATGAAATGAGACCCATGTGAAGCCCACTTAACTTTCTGAAACTTCGTATCATGTACCTTCATTCTAATATTCTGACACTTGTTTCATGCAGCCATACCAGTCACAACTTTATATTTTTAGTCGGACTTTGCTCGCAACTTTTCAATATAAATTAATACAAATCATTTTGGTCAATCACCATATAGCAGTCTCTTATTTACTTCAATGCAACTAAAGCTTTGATTCTTCATTACTCTTCCTGAGTAGTTTGGATCAAATAGTAGAGACTGAATATTCCTTAACCAAAATGCTTGTAAGTAGGCCAGGCACAGTGGCTCACGTCTGTAACCCAGAGGCTCACACCTGTAATTCCAGCACTTTGGAAGGCTGTGGCAGGCAGATCACTTGAGTTCAGGAGTTCGAGACCAGCCTGGCCAATATGGTGAAGCCTCTTCTCTACTAAAAGTACAAAAATAAATTAGCCAGGCATGGTGTCATGTGCCTGTAGTCCCAACTACTCATGAGGCTGAGGCAGAAGAATTATTTGCACCCAAGAGACAGAGGTTGCAGTGAGCTGAGAAGATCGTGCCACTGCACTCCAGCCTGGGTAGGAGAGTGAGACATCTCAAAAAAAAAAAAAAAAAAAAAAGCTTGGAACTAGAAGTGTTTCAGATTTCAGGTTTTTGTGGATTTTGGAATATCTGCATTATACTTACTGGCTGAATATCCAAAATCCAAAATGTTCCAATGATTATTTCCTTTGAGCATCATGTCAGCACTCAAAAAGTTTCAGATTTTGGAGTATTTTGGATTTCAGGTTTTCAAATTTGGGATACTCAACCTTAGGAAAATTCTCAGCATTCAGCATTACATTATCTCTTCAGGAATAAGACAGTACCCATGTGACTCTCATGGTAAGAAGTCAAACAAATGTTATATACATGACAAAGTTACTTAATGACATAAATGATAATGTGGTACCTAACTTAGGTCTATTGCTCTCTACTCTCTGTACATTATTTTCTGACAAAATCAAAACTCATGCCTTTGTAAAAAATGGCCCTGAACAGAAAGCCATTTGCTGGTGAAGTTCAGAGAAGAACATGGTTATGACAACTAAAGCAATAATGTAAAGTGATATAGTCTACTTCGGCTATTTTAGCAATTACATATACAATCTTATTCCTAATTTAGGGTTATAATTATGTGTATACTTACTGCATTTAAAGGAATTTTATGATACTGTAGTATCCAAGAATCTTAGGATTTCAAAGATCCCAGGACCTATCCAACACAAACAGTAGTGATATCTGTGTTTCCAGGGTAGAAAAAACATGTTTTTTACATGGGTACAATATTTTCCACTACATTTCCAAAGCTTTCCATACAATACATAGATTTGTTGGCATATTTTTCCTTCTTTTTTGTCTACACCCAGCCATTCACATGGTTGTCTTCAAGAAACCAATCATAACACTAAAGTGATTCCCAAGTCCCTTTCCTGATTCATAATGAAGACGCAATTAGTCATAATGTAAACATGTATCAGGTAATTTTTCTTTAGGTACATTGCTTTGCACTTACTAGACCAAAACAACACTCTTCTGGCCATTCACATAGCTTTGAGACATCTATCTACCATCTTTATTACCAATGTTCATTACCCAGAAGTCTTTGATGCCACCTTTCTATTTAGAAGAATGATATAGTTAAAGTGATCTTTGGATCTCTAATAAATACTATGTTAAGTAATAAACTATGAAACCAAAAATTACTTTCTTTTGCTTAGATTAAAATGAAAACTCATGTTTAAGTTTTATTTTGGCCAAAAAAATAAAACTATAACTTATGAAAACTCATGTATATGTAAACTACAGACTAAGTGTCTCTTATTTGAAATGCTTCGGACCAGGAATGTTTCATAGTTCTCTCTTTTTTTTTTAGGATTTTAGAATATTTGCATTATACCAGTTGAGCATCTCAAATCCAAAAATTCAAAATCCAGAATGTTCCAAAGAGCATTTCCTTTGAGCACCATGTCAGAACTGAAAAAATACCGTATTTTGGATTTTCTGATTTGGAATACTTAACCTGTATTTTACTTTATTCAGTCCAATATTAAAATGTATTAACTTCCTACTTAAATAGACTACATACTCCAGTATTTCAATCTTTACCATACCTCTTTCTTCAGGAACAAAAGGCACACAATTTAACACTTGCACAATGTCACAATCAGGAACAATGATCAAAAGAAGAGATGGTATCTGGAAATGAAGACCAAAATTTAAAAACTTTGTAAAATCTGTTCAATTACACTAAACATGTAATGTAGGTGTATAAAGAAATATAAAAAAAAAAAAACTAAAACCTCTCTACACTTAAACATATATTATTGATGCCCAGTGATAACATATCATAAATTTGCAAAAGTCACATCCTAAAGCTGAGAATCAATCTAACTCAATATCTTCATTTATTACAAGAAAAAGAAAATGAGGCTTGTCCAACGTCACAAAACTGGAACTAGTATCTGGATCTGATTGCAACTCAGTTATCGTACCACCATAATACTAACCTTTAATGTTCATTTCTGGTTATCTAACATCCTATGAAAATTGCTCACCATGAGAAGCCAATACCCATATAGAACTGAAATACAGCCTACACACCTGGTACCAGATAATAAATAAAATAAAAAAGACAAAAACCCTTTTCTTCCGCTTATAGCACTATGCCACAAAACCTTCGGTAGCATACCTGAAGGAATATGGGCAAGATTCAAGTCTCCTACCATTTTAAAAAAAAAAAAAAAAGCTCTATTAAGTGCTATAAAGTATGCAGTTACACAATGTTTCAATGAGAACAATTCTAAAAAACTACAAACAGAAAAGTAAACAATAAAAATACACTTAAAGGGCATTTAAGGTATATCTCAAAGGTACAGATTTAGGCTAAAGTATATTCCCTCTGTAATGTTTCAAGACATATAAACTTCTGGGATTACAGCATTTACCAGGGAGAAAACTAACAGAATCTAAAGTGTGACCATGGCAAAAAATTGAAGCATTTAAAAGCTCATATATTATCAATGCATATACTGGGTGTTCATTGTGGTGGTTGTCCTTTGTCCTTCCATAAAACCAGATATAAAACGTTTTAATTGATAATTAAACTTATTTTCACTGCAACAAGAAGGAAACATTCGGTTGTGTAATAAAGCCACATTTTATTCTCCTCCCCCTTTTGTTAACAATTTTCTGTATCTAGGGATGATCTAATTTATAGTTTTTATAGCAAAAATCAACATTGTCCACTATGCTTACCTTCCCCAGGAAATCCTAACATCCTCAAAGTGTTAACAGAACACAACGTCTCTTTATAAATTTCAGAAAAGATAATTTTGCTGAAAGTGAATGCATTATAAATTTGCAGTTAAACTCTGAAAATGTTAGGAAATTTCACTGAATTAATTTAAATGTTTTATATCTATTAAACCTGAGGATACCAACCTTAGCATACACTTAAATCAGACCCCTTGCTGCAGAAAAAGCAATTTAAAAAGCACCAGCAACTAGATCTAATATCGCTTTCCAATTAATAGAATTCCTATCCTGACGGTTTGGTGTCTTCACGTTTTATCACCGTGACAACTGTACAAACTTCAACATTCTCATGAATTCCTTAAACACTGACTTATTTTATTTTTTTAGTGTTTTTTTAGACGTTTGACAACATACTCAACAATGTTTGCACTAAAGCAGCTCACATACACTACTTGCTCTCATATTTAAACCTAAAAAGAAAACTGAGTCTTAACTGTTGTATCCTGAACTTTAAAGCTACATCTGTTTGATCGGTCCACTTAAGAATTAAAACATTTTTCCGTATATACATTCACTCTATATGCTTTTCAATTACCACAGCCACCTAGGAAGAGACTCTACTTGACAAAGAGGACACAATGTAAAGAAAAGAGTCAAAATGGACCCTACATGTGAGAAAGCCAGTTACAAAGAAACCCATCTGCCACTGGGTGTGGTTGGGGTCTGAGGGGAAGAGCACCTTTGGCCAACTGTGGAGAAGAGCGAGCGCGTCAGGGAGCTGGGCATCTCTGCAAGATATGGCCCCCAATGACCATAGGCTTGGCCCGCAATAGGGTCGCCGTCGAGTAGGGCCTGCGAACCTACAGCTCGAGGGGTGCAGTCTGCGGGATACCCTTGCTATCTCCAGCAACCACGAAACCCGCCGACTGAGTGCTTCGAGTGCCGCGCGCCCAGCTTCGCCCCAAACACCGCGCCCGATCCGCCCCTTCCTCCGGGGTTCCGCTGCCCCGCGTGGAGCGCGGAGGCACACCGTCTCGCACTCCCACCCAGCTCCTAGAATGTGGGAGAGTGTAAAGTTCGAAAAACCGGACGTAAAGCAAGCCCAGGTTAAGAAAGTACGCGGCGGCTCTAGCAGCCTGCAAAAGCGCTGGGCTAGAAAAGCCCCGACTTCTCAAGGAAAACTTTGCGGCAAGTTAGGCGGAAGCGCTGAATGGCCGGGACTATTTAACTGGCGCTTCCTCTCACAAGAGGCGGATCCCTCGACCTGTTTGGGGAACCCTGACACCCCCAAAACTCGCCCTTTGCCTGCTGGCTGGCCCGCTAGAAGTCCCGGCATCCTAAAAGGTCTGGGCAGTCCCGCTCACGGGAGTACCTGTCGTAGTCCCCATTGCCTGCGAGTCCCTGATGGCGGCCATTACACTTCCATCCGGGTATTGCCGAAAAGCTGATCGCAGCGCTACAGGGAGCGCACGCTACGGCGGAAGGATCTGCGCTGCACCTGAGACAAGCGGAAGAGAACGGAGGCCGGCAGGGTTCGCGCGCGGCCTGACGAGATAGGCCTGGGTTCGCCGCTGACCTCTCTACCTAGCCCGCGGCCCCGGCGCGCCACTTCAGTGACCCACTACTTCGTTGCTCACCAGCAGCGGCTGATCCTACTGCCAGTGGAATGGCAGACAAACGTCCATTCTGTGCTCTCCAAAGTAGACACCAGGAGCAGGAACTGTATGCACTTGGCAACCCCTTGCTGACTGGGAATGGTCTCCACCCTGAGATTTTAACCAGTTCCGGTTTAGCAAATGGCGCCTCCCCACCCCTTGCTTCTGACTCGCGGGTTTCAGCAGCTATTGCAGCCCATGTCAACGAAAGAAGCTGCCGCCAGTAGCTCTAGAAGACACATTGAATTCCAAACATGTACCTATTAAGTAATTTATCTCTAAACTGTCTTTACAATGAAGGAGGCCCTCATCCCCTTCAAAGGAATACTTCCCCTACCTCACAACAACAGGGCTGAACAAAGGTCAGTTAATATGGTTGGTATTGGTTTTACCCCAAAGGCCAGTATGGCTCTTCTGTCCTTTAGAAATCCAACCTATTAATTGATACCTCCCTTTCTACATAAATTACCTTCCTTTTAAAAAAGGGGCAGGGGATGAGTGGCAGCCGATATTCAAGCAAAAACAAAAAACCTTGGCGAGGAAGGATACACAATAAATTAAAAGTGAAACTATGATCCGATTTTTCACATCTTTTTTCCTGATGTTCCACGTTTTCTTAAGTAGTTTGTATGGCATTTACAATCTAATCTTTTAAAAAACTTTTAAATATATGATATGTATTTTTCATTTTCTTAGAGTAGGCTTTTGAAAATGTCAACCTGTAGCCAAATGCAAGATTTTCTCCTTCATTTAATAAAAACCACACTGAGAAATCCTCACTTTGACTTTCGTAAGCCTTCTTCATTATTGTGTTTATTGGGCTACACAATTCCACCTAGAAGAGGCGAATGAGCAGAAATTCACATTGGTCATACTTACTGTGTAAAACACACAAGGAGAAATCTTCTGTAAATACCAAAGGGGATGCCCTTATGGAATGAGGAACTTGTTTACAAAGTGGATTTTATCCCACATTGTACATCACCCATCTATATCCAGGACCTCATTAACATGCAAGCCAAACATGCACACACATCACAGCAGAAAGAGAGAGAACACAATTTTTTTTTTTCTTTTTGAGACAGAATTTCGCTCTTGTTGCCCAGGCTGGAGTGCAATGGCGCAATCTCGGCTCACCACAACCTCTGCCTCCTGGGTTCAAGCAATTCTCCTGCCTCAGCCTCCTGAGCAGCTAGTATAGGCGTGTGCCACCACACCCAGCTAAATTTTGTATTTTTAATAGAGACAGGGTTTCACTATGTTGACCAGGATGGTTTCAATCTCTTGACCTCGTGATCCACCGACCTCGGCCTCCCAAAGTGCTGGGATTACAGGTTTGAGCCACTGCTCCCAGCCAGGATTTTTTTTTAAAAAAATAGTAAAAAATGATTAAGTTGGAAACATGGGCGGAGTTGTTTGTTCTGTGTTTTGATGTCGTTTTTGTTTTTCAGATTGATATTTCATCACTCCCTCCTCTGCACTATTCACATTATAACTTTATTTTCACTTCTACATATATGTTCACCTACAAAATCTTGCAAACCTGCATTTATGTTATAGAAGAATTGGGGAAAGTTAAAGTAAATTAAAATATTAGTCTTACCTTACCTCTTCCCCTTTCTCTTCCACCATTCATATTACCTCTTCCACCATTCACATAACCTTTTTTTCTTGCCAACCTCTATGTTCAAAACCTGAAAGGTTTCTCTTGATCTCCTTTCAGGTTTTGAACATAGAGGTTAGCAAGGGGAAAAAAGGGGGGTGGGTGGGGACAGTGAGGGAGGAGAGGAGAGAGTAGACTGAATCAAGAAGGAAGGGAAGAAGATTAAAAGGGAGAAAAAGATACAAAAGGGAGAAGGCTGAATCATAGCTTAGGAAAGGATTCTGGAATACTTTTTTACTTGAGAAGGATAGTTAGTGGGGATAGGGCATTTAGATTAATGCTTTAAATAGTTGATCCCTCTGAAGACCTTACTACTGCTTACTACCTGACAGCATTTAACCTCTGAGCTTCTCAGAGCTGTGGAACGTGTAACTAACGTTACATGTTGTTTGATAAATTGAAGACAGAACTCAACACCATTGCACCAGGAGTGTAATAGAAATGATAAAAGTGATGGTGGTGGTGACAGTAATGAAGTTTCCATCTTGATTACAAATTTCTTTCTGCTTTGCAATACACAAGCGATGCCAGGTGCAGTAGCCTGTGCCTATAATCTCAGCAATTCAGGGGGCTGAGATGGAAGGATAAAAAAATAAACATGTACAATTCATGGACACTGTGTCATAAAGCAATTCACCTTAAGACAGTGAAACTTTCTCCTAAAAATAATATATAAATGGAAATTAGATTTTCCCTCTAGGGATTCTTGCCTGTAAATCATACCAACAAGCTTTCACAAAAAATGTAAACATGCTTTTAAGACATAGGTTGGTTGGTACATCATAAGCACTATGATCATAATTAGAAGATTAAATGATAGTAATTTGGATAGTAAGAGTCTCTTTAAAATGTCTCTTTTCTTTTTGCTGATCTCTGAACTCACACCCAGGTTCTTTACCCCCAACAATACAATCAAGTGCACCAGAATTGGGGGGAAAAAAAAGAGAGATACAAAGAGCCTGGGTGATACGGCATAAAGGTTACACACCTTGGTCAAAGATATTATGGTTTAATTACTTGTGGCAATCTATCATACAAGTGTTAATTGAGCTTTAAGTATTATCCTTCCCAATGTTATTTTCAATTTTGTTATTTAATATTTATTCAGCAGACATTTTCTTGACTACCTATTATGTGCCATGAAATTGCTAACAATAAATAAGACATAATTCCTCGTGGAGGGCCATCGGTTCAATGAAATTTTCTTGAATATTTAAAAAATTTTATGATCCAACAAAGCAATTCTAAAGATGAGATTTCAGACACTGTAACAGAGGATGAGAAAGATTTTTCTTTAGGTTGACATCCCTGCCAGTTTCCTCTCAGTTCACATTTCTTAGATGACCAAGACATTTTTATTAAGTTTTAATGAAAGTATAGTCCCTCTTTCTTAGTTCTTTTCATGGATACTATATTCAACCATAAAGAACATTAAAATGAACTGTATAAACTATATTGGTCTTACCTAAATATTTTAGGGTACCTCTCCCCATCCCTAATCACATAAATTCTTCCTAAGAATCTCTGCATTCTGAGGGCAAGATAATAGATAGTACAGTTAATTCAAGTCCTTAGAAAAAGAAAAAGAATTAAGTGGAATACTTGTTAATTACATTTAAGAACAAACCTGGTACACATAGAGGTTATATATCCTCCTTTATATTCTCTTTTATGCACACAGAACATTTTATTATTTAAAGTTTTAAAGAATAAAAAAGTATAGGGTTTTTCTTTTTGTTTGTGGCGATTAATTTGTTTTTTTGTCTAAAGTGTTTTAAAAGATAAATCTGATTTGTGTGAGACCAATGCCACATGGACTATGTTAATATCAATAAATTATACTTGAGAACTTGCAAAAGTAGATTATTATGACTCATTACATTGCTCTAAAATTTCCAAGTTACATCCACCTGCAAATTTCTCTAACTCTTCCCTTAAGAAAAAAAAAAAAAAAAGATTGTTTTCTTGTTTTAAATCAGTGTGTGCCTTAATAATACTATATATGTAATTTCAGAAGTCATGAAGTTGTATTAATGTTGGTGTTCATGTTTTGTTAATGTCTGTTGGAGAAGTATGGAGTGTGGAGGAGGGTAGGTCTTAGCAGTATGTCCTAGAATGTCTGATGGAGTAAGTGAGAAACAATCATGAAATGAATGAAAAAGATCCAATAACTCATTGGATCATTTAGTTTTTGCATGCCTTATTCCTGTTGGCATTAGGAAACTTTAGAATGGTGAGGCAACCCAGGAAAGCTAGTACAAAATAGGACTTAAAAGTGTAATATTGCAATGATAAGAGCCTAATTTTAGAGGAAATAATTAAATGCAAGGAAGGAGGAAAAGCTCTATACAAGAGCTTTACATATTATGTGGAAAAGTATTAATTAGAGGCTGAAAACACAGAGGAGAGCATGTGGATGTACATAAAAGTATACACTAACACAGCTAGGATTGATATGAAAATAGATTTCAGAACATCTCAGCCAGATGGAGGAGACAGATGATGCTGTCACACTGTAAATTACAAGAGTGGCCCAGAGTTCAATAAACATTTTGGAATGCCTACCAAGTACCAAAGGATCCATGATCTGTCCCCATTCTTACAATCTTGTTACACAAGATTGAGTAACAATGTTGAGCAAACGAATCATACAACCTAGTTCATCTGGGAAAGTCCTGCTATATAATTATTTTCCCTAGCTTTCTCTCTTTTTCATAATCAAAAGTTTTATGTTTGGATGATAATTGTGTGGTCACTATAATGATGAAGGAAAACTGCTGAAAAATCTCATCTACTGAGAGTTAACGATCTCAGAGATGTTTGATCTCTCTTGCTTATCGTTCAGAGAAACTAAACAATTCTTTAATAAAAAGAAGGAAAAGCAAGAACAAGCTCATCAACAAATAGGAATTACAACAGTTGCTTGTGATGAGATATTGGGATGCATGGATTTGCAACAGTAATTAGTAGTGGTTTTGTGATGTCTGGTTTCTCAGCTCTAGGATTCTTTTATTCCTGTCTTTTTAAGCTCATACACTAGGTAGGGCCTGGTTTTCAACCTGACCTAAATGCACATTATCCAAAAGGAGAACACCAGTTGCCAAGACACATGTGAAGAGAGATATAAAACCAAACACATGCTTAAGGAAATTA